CTAGAGGCACTTCCTTCAGAGCTTCTCCAAGTCCCGAATTGCCACTGACAAGTATGGGTAGACCAGCAGATAATGCTTCAAGAGCTGTTATTCCAAATCCTTCAGTCCTGGATGGCATTATTGCAAGATCCACTTCACAGAATAAGTTGGCTAGGACTTCTCTGCTATCATTAAAGCTACGAACAATAAGCTGATTCCGACTAATGCCATGGCGGAGCAACTTTTCTGCCATTTCATCTCCTTTTCCTCCAGGTGGGCATATAAACCTGAGTTTATAGGATTCACCTTTCAGCTCAGCAATTGCTTTAGCAGCTATGTCGTACCCCTTGACATTGAAATCTTCATGGCTGTCACCACTTCCAATAACAAGAACACAGAATGTTCTTCTTTCTTCAGTGGCTTGTTCTACTTCCAAAAACTCTGAGAAAATGCTTGGAGTAAGGTCAAAAACATTTTGTTGTTGTTTACCACGACAAAGGTAACGCTTGTAAACATATGCCAGCTTGGGTCCAATGGTAACTACTTGATCAGCCATCTTACAAAGTTCTATTTCTGTCTGCTGCATTTGCTCACCTTCTGAAATGTTTTTGTACATTCCATCTTCTTCAGGAGCAGAGTGAACAACTTGAATCCATTTGCAGTGACTGTAAATTGAATTTCTCTTCATAAGTGCAATTAGTCGGCCAAAGTGGATTCCATGACCAATGACACAGTCCATTGTATGGTTTCTGGGAGGAGATGACAAGCAATAAACGGGCTCTAAACCAGGAATTCTACCTGCTTCAATGAGTTTCACATTGTGACTTTCTGCACTGCTCCTGTCCTCTTCACTGCATTTTGGTAGCAAGACACTAACATCAACATTAGAGTGTTTAGCTAACTGGATGGCTAGCTCTTGGGTGATAGTTGACACATCTCCATCAGCTGATGATTTCCACTCACTACTCAGAAAAGTGACTTTCAGTGTCTTGTTTTCCTGGCCTTCCTGTGATGTAGAGGCTACACTAGGAGTAGTGGAATCCTACAACAACAAAACAAGAATGTTATTGAAAATAAGAGTTAAAACAGCAATAAATCACAATTACTGATGTTTACATTCTTAAGTAAACTTATAGTCAAGTTTTCTCTTATGCAACAAAGTTGGTTACAAGTAGATTGAGACATACTTAAACCAAGAGAATATTAAGTTGCTTTAGAGATCTACATTGTCACTGCAATTTTACTCACTGATAACAACCATTACATTTGTAAGGAAAGTGAAAATTATGCTCAAAAGGTATTCCTTTTCAACCCACTTTGAAATTGGTACATGCAGTTTCATAGATGACATTTAGGAGATAAAATAATGATGTGGATGAATGTTTGTCAAAGTGACGGGTTGGTATTTGTAATAGTGTACATTTTTACCATTCCTTTTACTACCTTGTGTAATCTTGACATCACAGAGAGCTTTTAAATTTCAAATATTAAGCTGAAAAAAAAAATGTAAAAAAATGAGTTCACAGTCCATTAAATCTTTTTATTTCCTCTCACAAATGTTGTTGCGACCGCTTAATTTAATTTGGTGTTGAAAAATATATCTCAACAGTCAATACTTGAGAGGAATGATATCCTTTTAAAAACAGACAGTTAACAACAACACTTAAT